TCATTAGTCTCTCTGAAGTACATTTGATGCTGTTATACAAAGTAAATAGCTTTAACGTACCGGGCACCCAATTTGGGATTGTCCGGTACTATGGGTAGGGTGCTAACAGCTGCCTCATAATAGTTATTAAATCACTTATTAAGTGAAATGGGTTTAATTGTTCACACTGCACAATTACTGAACATCAAGTTTATTCGATTTTTTAAAATACACTTCCTATTCAAGAATTTTCAGTTTTTCATTGTAATATTATGTTTTGGTTCTAGTATGCGGTGACCTGGATGCTATGATTGACGGAGGTCAAACTCCTGACCTTCTGCTTGACCTCACTAGAGGAGGGGTTAATAGCGAGGTCGTCAAATCTCTTAGGGAGGTCGCAGTCATTCGTTTTCAAAAGTAAAACTAAATTAAAACTAAACACTGTTCAAAGTAATTTATTAACATATTTAGTTCGGAAGAATTTCGATTTATTTTCAAAGAATGTTGTTTTATTTCTCACAAGTAAAACTTAACACTGAAAATCGAACATTTTGTTTGTTATTTCGAACATTTCGAAATTGCAAACATAAACCCGAGGGGGCAGCCCAAGGGTTTATCATTGAATCCTTAGGGTGTTTAAATTTCCATTGATACTAATCTGTCTGAGATTAAATGACATTCCTTTTTAAAAGGGGTGGGATTAAATGAAAATTGTTGCATACCAATAAACCAGCTTTTTATAAAGGAATGCCCAATTCACAACGGTACCTTCATAACCTTTATTTAATATGGTTGTTGTTCTAGCCTGCACAGTGTTTAATTCTAATATTTCCTCCATTAATTGTTTCAAAAGCAAAATATGCATAAATCACTGTTGCACCACAGATGAAAAAAAAGCATTTGAAGGGAACTGTTGTAAATATCACATGCAACTCTAGTTTTGGAGGTTCGCTTCAAATTACTTTTTCAGACTCTTTAATATCATTAAACTACAGTGATAACCAGAAAACTGTAGAATATGAAGACGACATTAAAGCAATACTAAAGTGTATTTGAAGTTATTACAAAGCAAATAACTTAAAGTCGGGTTAATAAATCACTTGGTTTACAGTGCACAATTCTGTGCCTCATGTCCATTAGATTATTAAAGTTATAAATTGAGTCTCAAAGTCGAGTTCCTATTCCAGATCGTTATCTGGTTATTGTATACTATATATTATATATTGTATATATCTGGTATATTATGCATATATTATATCTAGTATATTTGTTAAATATTCCTTAGATTAATTCAACAAAATAAATAATATTTATTTATTTCAGGGAATGGAAACAATTGACTATGGAGCAAAGTAAATATTTGATCCAGGTATTCAAAATTTTATCAAATTCAGAATTTTAGATTTTAGTGTAAAATATTTCTTTTGTTTCTTTATAGAAAGTTTTTGCTTTTTCTTTGTATTCAAAGGCATACACCTTAAATGTAGCCAAGCAAAAGTCTATCACTAAGGCTAGAAGCAAGCTCGTAGTTGTTCTGAAATTACCATGTTTTGGGCTGCAAAAATTTAAAAGTCGAATTGCGACACTTTAAATTCGACCCAGTCAAGAAAATTGAATAACAACTGTTGCAGCTGCCTGGGTCTTAGTGTAGTTAAAAGTTATAAAATTAATTATATCAATTTGAAAAATTCAAGTAATTTCACATTAAAATTAGTAAAATTATTGTCGAGATTAAAATGCAATCCATCGAATCTATTTAAAATTTCATGTTCTTTTCTTATTCTAATGCGTACAAGTTCAAATCCATCCAATCAATATAATTGTTAAAAAATATGGATGTGTTCATGGTATATAGCTGCTGAGTACATTGTACAGATACAAAATATAAGTCTTAAACCGGAATTCACAATTGACGTCATAAAATTACTCCCCTCCCCCTCCCCTTAGTCCTAGAT